TAATCTGATTGTACTTGAACTATTTAAACATTAAAATTTTTTTTTATAATGATCAATCAAAAAATGTCTGCTGAGTAAAAAAGCTTGAAAATGTAATACAAGGTTCCCCATAAGTTGTTATGATAATAGTGAAAAAATATTGAAATTTTATAGGGGCAGTGGTGCATTATATTTTTTTTTGCATAGTTTACCAGAGTATTCTTAAACTACTTCGGCGACAAGAGGTTTGGAGATGGCTTTTGTGCAGTAAAAATAATACTAAAAAGTAAATCACCCTAATATATGTTTTTAAGAAAATGTTACATACACAGACTTCTGAAGAGACCAAGAAAAATATGTCAAACATATAAATATTGAAAGTGAAGCTATCCTATATGGCAAATATATCATTGGAAATACAAAGAAAATTGGTGTTTAGCTTGGAGGGAACATACTAATTGAGGCCAACAAACCAACAACTTAAGTGAAGTATCAGTAAGATTTTTTATGGAAAATATATTTTACTGATTCACTTTGGTTGTACAAAATTGGAGAACTGCAAACAATTTTTTTAGAATTTTCCAATGAAAGAATTCTACAGCTTGAGTATTTTTTCAAAAATTAATTGAAATAATTGATTGTCACCAAAGAAGATATTTTATGACCCAATGCTTCAGGGACATGAATCAGCTACATGCCTTCAGGTATCTTCATAATTAACTTTAACATACCTACCTAATTGTTTAATGATTTATTCATTTCAGTGAATTATAATATTATAGGCAGTGGTCGAAGTGGGGGGGGGGGGGATACGGAGGGATGACATCCCTCTACTTTATTGTATTTACATTTTTCTTCCCTCTACTTATTTTGTCTAGAATAACGCATTCCTCCTAAGACTTGTGTTTTAAAATGAAATAATTATTATGATTTTTATATTTATACCTATGTATAAGAAAACTTTTTATTTTTCGTATAGGCCTAAATCTGAATTGTAAGGCATCCCTCCACTTATCTTGAGCTATTTCGACCACTGATTATAGGCCGATATTCTTCGACAGAACCGAAAAATGTATGTACAAATATAACTGATTGCTTACCAAATGCAAAATCGCATTAAGCTATTAAGTGCTTAAACATGTAATTAAAAAAAAGACTAAATTTGTTAGGTAATTAATTACATTTACAAATTAAATCACCTGTTATAAAAAAAATTAAGATTTTTAAACAAATACCTATGCAAATGCTTAAAGTCCTAAAGAAGAAACTATATTGCAGGGTTTCAAATTAATTCAATTCTTACCTTTTTGGTAATAATTTACCATCATTGATATGGTCTATTCCATCAAAACATCCACGCTTAATAGTTTTTTTAAATATTTCATCATCACATCTAATAAGTGGGATTGTCAACTTTCTGACTTTGCAACTGTGAATTATATCATCATACCTAAAATAGATCATAAACATTTTTTAAAATTATTATTAGGTACCAAGCAGATACTAGATAACTAATGTACAAATTAAATAATACATAAATTATTAAAACACTTTAAAATTCTCTCAAAATGGACCTAGGTTAAAATTACATTTTGTAACACTACCTACATTAATTATTATAATGTATTTTCTCACTTGGAATTAATCGTATATTCATTAACTGTCGATCCGAACGGTTCCATACTGAATTTCTTATTATTTTTCAAATACTGTGAACATGAACCATTACAATGAGGTACCACTTATGAGGATATGAAGTAATATGTTGTACTGGGTGATAAATTATAATTAAGCTCACACGCATAAAACTGTATCTACCTAGTTATGTGAGACAGTGTATAAGTGTAGTAGACATCACGAATAATTAAACAAAATTTAAGACTAAATACCTTTTTTTTCCATATACAAAAAAAATATTGAGTTAGATAATACTCAATTTTCATTCACTTACCAACTAGGTATTAACTGCTGATATGAGGTATATCAAAGGTCCAACCAATCATAACACTGTCCATTCACGGCGTACCACGATTAACGAGCACCATGGTGATGGGTAACGACTGAGCACGATTTAAAATCCCAACGACTAACGAGAACGACAAATCGGTAAAATATAGTCATTGGACATGACCATAAGCCCGCACGGCGAACATCGCATGGAAAATAGAATTGGCGGCCTTTCAGCCATTGACAAACTACGTAGGGTTAAGCCTGAAGAGGCGCAGTTGATGGTTGACGAACTACGAAATACGAATAGACACAGACTGTGGCCGCTGGAGTACGAAACTCAGGGTAGCCAACCTTCGTTGCTAGATACAATATTGTATTTTATGATCTAAGGTAATGATGGTTTAAAGTTTAAGCCTTTGAAGTAATTTCGAATGACGGATAAATTGTGTATCTTGTCCAGTAACAGGGTGAGAAATGTATAAGCTCAAAATTCGTATTGGAACTCTTCAGTCTTTACAATGCCTGATGGTTACTGATTACCACGATCTAAGATTTACAGGCTGCTAAACGCAATTTTTGTTGTTCTATATTTTTATGTCTATGAATTGACCTAACCCTGCTTGCGAGAATTGCAGCTAGCGCCCAAGTGGAAATGAATGTAGTTAAGCAATGTACATTTTTATAAGGTTGCTACAACTACCTCGAGAATCATCATTTAATAACACGATTAAAGATATTATACTTAATCATGTTTAATAATACTCCGAATTTATTACTTCGACGAGTTCGACCACGATGTAGGTAGGTATACGATAATACAGATTCTGTGGTCTTGGTCTACTTCCTATCTTTTATTAAGAAATGTTTAAGTCGTAATTTGACTGCATTTAGGGCGGGTATTGTCCACCAGAAACTACTTAAGGAACGCAGATTTGTCAAAAAATACTGTGTAGAGACTAGAGGTATTCATATTTAAACTGTAAGAACGAAAGTAGTTTACTTCCTAGGTTTTTTTTTGAAAATGTAATTTTTTTTTGCTCAACAAGTTGGTGAAATCAGAATTTATTCTGTGGTATTATCTACATCTTGCTCCGAACATAATACAAAGTCACGACTACAACTGCTCTTATTAGTTATTACTTATTACTATTACGTCGAAATTCTATATACATTTTTATTACCTGTTACAAATTGTTGCGATGTACAACTACTTCGAAAACACTGCGCAAATATTTAAATATTTTGAGATTTCTCTGAATTTCAAAATAATTTATAAAAGTACTTATTTACGTACAAATATATTTTAAATATCCATAAATTATATCAGTACCGTAGCTAAGAATGTTTTTCGGGGAGGGACTATTTTTTTTGTGGTATTAATATTTTATTGTTAGGGCTAGAGTAATACCGGGTATTGAGAGTTTGATATTTGGAGGAGGGGGGCTTAAGTCCTAAAGCCCCCTCTGGTTACTATTAGTGGAATATTAGCATTGAAACGTAGTTTTTTTACTATACTGCGTGCACTGTGTAATGAGAAACATTTTATACAGCGCAAAAGAAAAAATGATTAATAATAGCATTTAAAACCAATTATTAATATTAGCTATGATTTGTACATGTATTATACAATTTCACGCTTAAACTAATTGATGATAAACCTATATTATGTACATTTATCATATAGGTTTTTTCGTTTTTCTGACTGTCACATTTTTGTAGTACCTAGCTATTAAATATTTGACAAAAATATTTTAATTCTAATCAGTCTTAATTTTATATTATATTTTTACATTTTTATTCAGAATACATTTACAAAATAAATAATAATGTGTTCAACAACTATTATTTTCTTCTATAGGTAGTTCTTAGGGAATTGCGACGTTTTCTTCATACTTCTTAGACCCGTAAGCAGTGTTAATTACGCATACTTTGGAGTTTGAATTTTACATTTTGACGTGTATGTATGAAATCTTTGAACAAATATTCAACTATTTTTTCAAGACTACAATCGAATTTCTGGAAGTACGTTTAATTTATTACAGCATATGTAGTTTGTATAGTTATGCAAACATAATTATTTAAATATATTTCATTTTCCGCAAAGCATTGACATGTGTGCAGTGCACTTGCGAGATCTGCATTCTTCGGTGGCAGTCGCAAATAACGGATTGCTAACATTCACATATGAGTATATGACTGACACAGCCAAAATGCATATGTCATAAGAATTGCCTAAATATTACTTCTTAAAACATATGCTACGTTACAGCCTCCAGCAGTCCAGCCCCTTTAACCTCTGAACTAGGTACTTTATTACAAAGTACCTATTGGCAGGTGTTCAAACTTTTTTTTTAATCTTTCATTTTCAATTTAATGAACACATAATTTAAAATCAAAATGTCTTGCATTTTTAACAACAGATTAATTTACAAAGTTTCTTTGCTTGAGTTTTGTCAAAACTTACTAAAAAAATGTTTTCATACATAAATTGAAACAAAAACAAGTGGTATCAGAAAACTAAAACATTTTGAAAATTATATCATGTATTTATGTCTAGAAAATGCATTTTTCATTTTTATCTTAATAATTTAAAGAAAGATTTATTATCATTATTATTTAATGATATGGTAAATAGGTAAATCCTATTTTAAAAAATAACTTCATTATAAAGTATTATTCAGACATTAATTCTATGCTCTGTAAAACAAAACAGCTTAGATATGTGAGTTGCAGATAATATGAAGGCATTGATAATGTTTATAACATTATATTTACTTATGTATGCATAGTATTATACAGTGTTTGGAAAGAACGTCGTTCATGAACGCACGTTCACGCGTTCACGTTCATAAATAGTGAACGATACGTGAACGTCACTCGTATTTTTAAAATAGAACGTGAACGTGAACGCCGTTTATATTTTTAATGAACTTAATCGATTATTAAGAAGTTTAATTTATTTACCATTTAATAAATATATTTTTAAAATATTTTAATTAATCATATTATAATAATATTTTCCATTATAGTTCCTATGATATCGAATTTAAATTTAATTAGTAATAACTGAGAAAAAAAAATTAAATGAACGCCCAATAAATGCGTTCATTTTTTGAATGAACGTGAACGTGAACACGTTCGTTTGAAAAAAACAGGAACGTGAACGCGAACGAGTTCCTTTTTTAAGTACTGAACGTGAACGTGAACGAGTTCATTTTTTTAGTGAACGTTCCGAACACTGGTATTATATAGAATTATAGACCGTCTTTAAAAGTGAATATTTTATATTGATTATGTAATATCTATAACTAGAAATTAGTTTTGTTTTTTGGAACATAGAGATAAATTAAAAAAAATCTGAGAATTTTATACATTTCATTTCTGTAATCAGTTATTATGTTATGAATTTATGATATTGTAACATGGGTAGTACATTAAATATTAATTTCAACTTTCAGGGCTCAGCTTTAATACATAGGTAGATATTATAATATATTAATATCATACAATTTTACTATTACTGATTATATACTATAAATAAAGTATAATACTACTGTACTACACCTATACTAACAATAAAATAATAATACAACCACAAAAAATATTTAATCTTTTTTGTAACACAACTATTGTTTCGGGTCCTCCTAATTTTTGCATTGCGGTCTCGGAAATTAAATACTTGTATGCGTCTCCTTCGCACTGGTGTGCATTAGCTTGTCTCCTTGTCGGTGACAAATAACAATAATTTTTATATTTTAGGTTCTCAGTTCCAAAAGAATAAGAAAAAACTTACATGAGTATTTCCTCTCCCGGATAAACGGCATTCCTGCCGATTGATCTCGATTTTCTTCGAAGAATTGTCTTTACCATTCCAAACTTTGATTAAAATTGAGATGAATAAAAGTAAAACTGAACAGAACTAAAAATGCGAGCACATATATAATGTTATATTATTGTACTTAGGTACTTTAAATGTTTATTTCTGGAAAAAATCTTAACAATTTAACACAAGGATTCTTATAAATTGATTTCACAGCAGCCTAAAAATACCAAAAATACATTTGTACATTTGTTAACTCCTATACATACTAAATTAAAATGTTGGCAAAATTGGATTTTTAAAGAGGAATAACAATTTGTGTTCCTTATTAAGGTGTAAAGTACTTAATACAAAACAATAATTAATTATCATTCGAGCACGCAATTTTGAAGGTGTATTATTATTTACTAAATACAATGAAATTAAAAAATAAACATATCACATATTAAGTATAAAGCTTATGGATTTATAATATAATATCATCTATCATATATCCTCTATGGGTCAACCTCAATCGTCGTCATTCATTGAAGACGATTAACAATTCTAATAATTTAATTGAACAAAAAAAAAATAAGCCAAAGAGAAACGGATAAGACGTTAAACAGTTCATTAGTACTTATATTAGTACGAATGTTTATGCAAACAATTTTTATGTACCATAATATTTTCGAAATATTGTCACTGTTTCTGAGCTATTTATAAATATAAGAAAAATTCGAGTTTTATTATTTTTTTAAAAATGTTTGTCGATCTTAGCTCTATCAAAAAACTTGAAAATGTAATACAACGTTCCTCATAAGTTGTTGTTAACGGTAATTTAAAAAAAAATTGATCATAAATCCACAGTCATTTTTTATGAGCTTCTGAAGGTAAATTTTTGACAAAGTTCATCAAAATTATGAAAATTGACAGAGTATATGATTCTTCTTAAATTTTCCTACGTTTAATAAAAATAAAGTTTACTAAGTAAGGATTGAAAATTTAAAACAAGGTTCCACGTAAGTAGTTCATTCTGTGAGCAAAAAATCTAAAATGATACAAACATAGTTTTTTGTATAGTTTTTTTAAGTTCAAATTTGGACTAAATTACAGATTAAATAACCAAGAATAATGATTTAAGTTATTTAGTTGTAATTTAAAAATATTATTCGGGGGTACTTGAAATTTTTCAAGTATATCATCATTATATATAAATAAGATAATATGCAAATAATATTAATTCAACCTACCAGCTACAATAATAATAACAATATAAATATAATATTAAATATCCTAGTCCGACAAACCGGCTTCGTTCAGAATCTTTTTTCGTATGCAATGATATTTTATAAAAAACTAACACCATTTAATACAGTGACCGCCTTGTAACCTACTGTACAGTTGAGTTTCACCCATTTACCCGCCTTTTTCTTTTAAATGTACAGAGAAAAACAATCTGTATTCTATAATATTATTTTTTGTATTCTTCGCAGTCTTGTTTATAAGTTATGTTTATTAAATTGTCTGTGTTTTAGTTTTAATATTAATTTTCATTGTAATATACGATCAACGTAATTTTTGTTTTATTTATTATTGTTAACAACTCAAAAGTAAATTGTTTATATTGATCAAATATACATTCATAAAAACAAATATTTGGCACGGGTAACACGGAGAGGGACAGCTAGTCATTAGTATTATATACATATTACTTATGTCTATGAATTAATGATATAAAGCCATAGGTAAAGGTCTAAATATATTGTATATGTATATGAAAATATGGGAAATTATGGGAAGGAGGAGAGCTTGTGTCACTTTTATCTTTCACTTAAGTTCATCAAAAGAGGTAGGTATTTACATTTTCAAGAACTAAAGTAGTTACCTACATTGTTATAGCAGTGATAAAAAAAAAATGTAATCACTAATTAAAACATTAATCGTGTTGCTTATGTGCAAATATTTAGAAGTTAATTAAACAAAATTGTATTACTAATTTTTCTTTTCTTATAGTAGCTATAAAAAAAAAATATTTTAGTAGAATTTTAAATAATTATTCATTTATTAAAAGTAGTTATTTAGTACCAATTTCATTCAATACGTTAAAAAATATTATTCACAAAATTACAACACAGCAGTGTGCAGTTGTGGTTAGTGCGCATTAGATGAGGTTAAGTGGACAAATTTTAAAACGTTATTAAGTATACGAATACGGTACACCTACTATAATGACATAATGTACAATATACTACTCACACATGTTATTATTTATTATTACTTTGAAACACATTATTTATGCTTAGAGGGATAATGATTACTCGGGTTTATGTATATGAAAAGGGTGAACAAAGATACGTATAATGGTCTGCAGGTAGGTCGGGGGTATTAAAATGTAACAAAATCAAAGTTATTTCATTTTAATGCACAAAACGTCAGTCGTTAACAAGGAATAAATACATTTCGTGAAAACATCTCGTTGTTTATATTAATGTTCAAAAAAAGTTTCGATCGCGATGGAACTGTCATTCGCTGTTCAGATTTAGTCGTTAAATGCACGTACTCTACATATTATATAGTATATAATAGTTAAAGTATATAATTTAATATAATTTATTATTATATACAAAATGCAACGTCAATATTTTTAAATTTAATTGGTATTCTTCATATATTGAGTTATTGCCTAAGCTATATGCCTATATGTATGGTTTTAATAAGAAGAGTAAGTTAAACTTTTTTTTATAATATATTTATTTTATGCATGAAATTCCTATAAAAAATTTGTAATATGAAGTTGTAATTTTGAAAACATACATTAATTTATACTTTATAGTTTATACCTACATTTATTATAAAAGCTTGTAATATATGAGATAATGTAATAATATAATACTGTCGTCTATTATGATATTCTAATTTCTAATTGTTTGTATGACAAAATCGGCTTCGATAATTTCTACTCATAAATACACGAGCTGTTGGTAATTTTTTCCGAAAACATAATCATCAAATTTCGTTTAGACATATACATATAAATACTATGCATTTTTCTAGTTACGGGCCTAGGAATTAGGATATACATAACACATCAAGATGGGCATGTAGACTATTGAATTTACTTTATCATACATATGTATTTGTCTAACAGTTTTAAATTAAAAATTTAATATTTATTCGATCGTTGAGGGCCATAAATTATAAATGAGATGAACATCACAGTGTTTAAAACTTTAAAGTTAACATTTCTAAAAAAAGTAGCTTTTTAGTTTTGCACAGTGTAAACACAAACCTAGTTACCTAGTTTATGTTTACCTAATAGTCTTAATAATATTCACTATACATAATAATTGTTAAATGTTTTGTATTTAAAAGATCATCTTTTCGATCCAAAAGTTTAGGTGGAGTACATATTACAGATAGTTCTTCAGTCTTCTGAAAAGTACAACTATCTTTACATAACTTTGTTTGTTTGCTGCAAAAATTATATTATCATGAAAACGGCTGTAATTATTGTGGCGTCTATATTTGGTATATATAGCCTTTTTTGATTCTTGTCATTTATATTACATTATTACATACTATATAGCAAGGGTGGCCAAAGAGAAGAGACTCGCGAGCCACCCAATATATTAATAAATGTGGATGAGCCAAAATGGAAAAAAGGTCATATATATATGTATATATAATTATTATATAATATATATATATTTATATATTTGTATGTACAATATATATGATTATTGTAAATAAGATAAGGTACCGAATTTATAAAATGTTCAAACAAAATAAACACGCAACAAATAAGAAAATAATTAATAATTAAAAATTATATCAAGAACACTATATTTTTGCAAAATTTTTTTCTACACATTGTAATTTAATAAAATATTATACTTTTTCAAATACATAAATTCATATTAAAAATTTTACGATAAAATGCGAGCCTTAAATGTCTGTAAAAAGAGCCGCATACGGCTCGCGAGCCACAGTTTGGCCACCCCTGCTTTATAGGTACCTATATAATAATAATAATAATAATAATAATAATAACAATAATATTTTTGAGCTCCTTAGGTCATTTTATACCAAAGTGTATTATTATAAATGTGTTGTACCTGTTGCCCGGCGACACATTAAAATGTAATACATATAACTTTCGTGTTACTGATCATGAATGCAAAATGATAATATTGCCGAAGTGCGTCATTATATTATTTTATGTATAATATATAAAGCGCATTGTATTTAAATATATTGTACCCGTTCTCGCGGTCGGTATTGTGTCGAACGTATTTTTTATTTAAACTGAAAATTTCCGTCGAGTGTTAGAGTAGAATTATATTAAAATGATTGTTCGAACGTAATCCGACTTAAGTATTTTTGAAAAGATTATTCACGTTACCCACACGCACACGTACAATATGTGCGTATAATAGTACATTGTGCAGGGCGATTCGCATCAGGAATGCTTACCCACATTTTTGACTTTAACAATGTATTTATATTTTAAATTTAATTTTTGGAACTTAGAATTTTACTTAAATTAACCATACCTATTTTAAAAAAATTACTTACATTTTGTTATCTCTTATAAATAGTGTCATTTGCATACAAACTTTCTTTATTCAAATTTAAACCAACTTTTTTATTGTTATTTATATAGATGAAAAATGTTAAAATCAAAATTTAAACTTCTAGCATCCACATTATTAAACTTTATGTTCTACGGTCAATAGTCGATGATAATAGGTTTTAAGATATGGGGTCTAAAATAGTTTGAACATTATTGTAATTAATATAGGTATCAAATTGTTATAGCTGTAAGCCTGTAAATAGTCATACATTTTATAATTTGTGGTCAGAGTGAAAACTATTAGAGTATAACAGGTAGGTACTAGACCATAGGTTCTTAACCAGGGGTCCGTAGATGGTTATTCGGGGGTCCACAAACCACGGGTCGGTTGAGAGTTTTTTTAAATAACCCAAAAATAAATTTGTTTGAAATTAATTCATAATATTATTTGATGAACCTTTAAAGTAAAAACTGTACATTTATGATATATAATAGTAAAGATAAGTAAGTATATCAGTTCACAGACGAGCAATGATTTCCATAGCGTCCAAAAAAATAAACGCATTTGTAAATAAAATTTTTCTTCGGAAAAGAAGACTTCAATCGGACAATTCAGCAGACTTTCCAACACGAGCTTTCAAAAAATAATATTGCTTTATCCAGCTGCATAAAACAGAAATTTGTGCAAATCTTGATGTGCTTGAAAATGTATTTGGCAATTATTTGGATTTTACATACTCGAAAGCAGAATTACGGTTACTCACAGTTCTTTTCTAGTAGAGCTAAATGCAATATTAATGATTCAGATCTTGTGAAATATGAATTAATTGATTCGAGATCAAAAGAAATAGTACACCCCGGTTTTCAAACAAAAAATGTAATCGAATTTTGGAGTTCGTTAGGTTAGGTTAGGTTAGGTTATCCGCGAGCTCTAATTATATTCGCTACTACATATAGTTCTGTGAGTCTAGGTTTTCTACAATGGTCACAATTAAAACTAACACAAGACATCGATTGGTCATTAAGAACGATATGTGAATTGCTCAGTCCAATACGGTCCCAAATTTCAAGGCAATATTGCAATAAAAAAACAGCAAATGTCACATTAACAATTGTTTTCAACTATTATAAAAAATGATTAATCACAATAATATAATGTTAGGTTAGGAAGTTAGAAGTTAGAATAGTTTAGAAGTGTTTTACCACAGCTTATAAGAACCCAACTAAAAATTATGATTATTCAAAAACATTGACTTAGTAATGACACTACTTAAGTATATTAAATAATTCTAAAATTCAGAATTTGAATTAATATATTATGTTAAAAGGGGAGGGGGTTACTATGCTTGATCCCCCACTAGGGGGGGGGGAGTTCTTGGGTGGTCACTGACTATTTGATTTTTGAAATTTTCCACTAATTTTTAGAATTGTATTCCATCCATCGTTTGAAAATTATACTCATTAAAACACTTTAAACGTATTCGTGCAAAACGAAAATTAAATGTCAACGACACGCGTATACGACATTACGACCTGTAGTTAAATTACATAATATATTATCATAATTATCATAATTGAGTAGGTATACTTACATTCAGTGGCGAATACATAACTTGTGTATGGGGGGGGGGGGGGGGTCAGTGGAAAATAACCTCAAGTGTACACAAAAAATAGACTTTTAAGATATTTATAATGCTCTAAAAAAGTTCATCTGCAGCTAGGTACCTACATAAAAAAATTAATCTTAGGTGATATTCAAGGTCCCAAATTCAAATGCATAGTTATCCTGTATTTTGCAGTTATATACAGGAAGATTCATTGAGCATGCACCCATTTTTCTTTTTCAATAATGTAGTATTCAAAATCTGATTTTTGGAATTTTTAAATGTACACATACAGATTAAGTTCAAATTCTTAAGATTTTTCGCACTTCTATATGGAAATACAAACTTGTGTTTCTCAAATGACTAAATCTCTTTCCCATTGTAAATTATTCAGTCGATAATTTTTTTGAAATTGTTGACCTAACAAATCAAAATTTTAACTAGTAGTTTTGAAGATATTTAAATCTGTGTATGTAGGTACTAAGAAAAATGGGTTCATAATAATTATTTTTGGGCGATATGAGAGCTATGGTAGTATGTTCATTTTAGTAGTTAATATAAATCAACATTTTAATTTATAAAAATGGTCTAAGTATAAATGATTACTAGAGCCAATATTACATCCATTTAAAATTTTTGTAAATCCATTTTTGAAATAAGGACTATTATTCTTAGTATATGAGCATTAAAATAACTGAAAAACTAGTAACAACTAGTTCAAATTCTGGATTGGGTATAACAAAATTTTTAAAAAAATTGTTCACTAAATAATTTACAGTAAAAAGTCGGGTTTTCATTTGAAAAACAGAAAGTCATATCATCACATGCCACTCCTTAAGTACCTACCTTCTAATTAGTACAAAACATCTCAAGAATTTTAAAACATATAGTCTTAATTTAAATAAATGGGTTAGCATAATGCTTGGCGAATCAGCTTTGTACCTATATAGACGCATAGTTATAATAAACCAGTTAAATTACCTACCAATAGATTATTGAGTTTATACTTTATATAACAATTAACAACTATACCTATAAACTACAATAACGAATAATTCAACATATGTAATAGGTACGACCTATATACACAAGGATGGGCGAGATACTAGATGCTCGATTTTTACATTTTAAGTACCTATTTAGATACTCGATACTTACATTTTAAATATTTAGATACTCGATACTCGATACATTTGAAAAAATTAGTCATAGCCTACGACGCATAGGATTTTTTTAAAATTTTATTTAAATACAATTAGGTAGGTTGTGAATCTAGACAAATGCATTTAACTTTAAATTTCAAAATATTAGTTAAGTATAAATATATTTTAATGAGTCAATCGGTAAATAAAATAAATAAATAATAATAAAAATAAATTAAAGAAATCATCATATCGTATACTGAGTAGTATACATGACACGACAAAAAACGTTAAATGCATTTAATTTTAAAATTTCAAATATTAATTAAGTATAAATACATCATAATAAGTCAATCGCTAAATTACATGAATAAATAATGATACAAATAAATTATAGATATCATATCGAATAGTTTATGATACGACAAAAAATGTACGGTAAAGACATAAAGTCCCATTCAACGTGTATGTGTGGTGCGCCACAGTACACAGATGTAACTTAATATGGCTAATAGGTTGAAAAATAAATTCGTTCAAGCTGTACTGCAATTAAATTATGGATTTA